ACAGGAATATTTAAATCACATAACATGTAATCATGGGATTAAAAATAAATATTATTCACATAGAATGATTGCGTTATTGTAAGCAACTTGGTTTTTAAAACGTGCTATTGATGAGGGTTTCTTAGCCTTTTTAATTTCTGGAATTAAGAGTTTAAAACTTAGCTATAAAAATTTCTCAGATTTGGCCAGGTACAGTGGCTCATACGTGTAATCCCAGCACTTTGGGAGACTGAAGTGGGAGGATCACTTGAGCCCAGGAGTTTGAGATCAGACTGGACAACCTAATGAGACCTCATCTCTACTAAAAATAAAAAATCGGCGAGGCATGGTGGTGCATACCTGTGGTCTCAGCTACTCAGGAGGTAGAGGCAGGAGGATCACTTGAGCCTGGGAGGTTGAAGCTGCAGTGAGTCATGGTCACACCGCAGCCTGGGTGATAGAGCAAGACTCTATCTCAAAAATTTTAAAAATGAAAAAACTATTTCTCAGATTCTTCCATTTGGAAAAATTAGGAAAAGATCGTTGGCAGGGGCTGGTTCCATGCAGCATCCAAGGGACTGCACTGAAAATAATTGTCACAAAATGGCTGACATGCAAATACCGTACCGTGTGTACTTCCCTGGAAGTGACCCACGTTCTTCTTAACTTCATACATTGCAGTAGAGAAGCACACACACAATCGTTTTTCGTGTGCCCTGGAGTAGGGCTTATGCATTTTCCTTTCTAGTATGTGAATAAAGCAGGATTTGCACATGGTTTGCAAATAGATCCGAGTGATGGAAATCTTCCAATCCAGATGGCCTATTGGGCATTCATGCTGTCTGCTTTGACCTCAATGCTGCACTTAAGATCTTTTAACTGTTAGTTGTACCCTGGTTTGCCTTTTAGTCATCTCAGTATACAAAACAAATATCCTTATTGCACATTTGATAAATCTATGCCACACACAGAGGTTGGTTTGTTTTTTGAGACAGTCTCCCTCTCTCACCCAGGATGAGTGCAGTGGTGAGATCCCGTTTCACGGCAACCTCCGCCTCCCTGGTAGGAGGAGTTTTCCCTGCCTCAGCCTCCCGAGTAGCTGGAACTACAGGCACGTGCCACCACACCTGGCTAATTTTTGTATTTTTAGTAGAGACGGAGTTTCACCGTGTTGGCCAGAATGGTCACAAACTCCTGACCTCAGGTGATCCGCTCACCTCAGCCTCCCATGGCACCCAGCCCACCCAGAGTTTTATTGTTAAAATATACTTGTCTCATTTCTGCCCATTGTTATGCTAATATCACAAAGCTCTGGGTTTACTGTGGGCCTATATTTCTCTATGGGCTTCTATGAAAAAGTGTTTTTTAATTATTTCCTGGGACAAGAGCTTGTCAGGCTTAACTCGTATCATATCCAATTTTTAATGAAGTCCATACCAGGTCAAGTACCAGTAGCTTTGAGGATTTGAGGATATTTGAAAAAATAAAAACAAACAAAACCATGTAGAAAGAGAACCATGTTTCTTTTTATTAAATGGATAAAGGCAACAGTAGAGTTCATTGTCCAAATTTTAAAAATGACTGTATCTGATTTTCAAATGGCTTCCAATTTCAATATAACTAGTTCACTTTTTTTCCTAGAATTTTAAACCAAATCACATTCATCTGTGGTTTTAAAAGAAACAGTTTTATATTAGGAACTTTACCCTAGTCTTCCACTGTCTACAAATTTATTCCTGTGCCTCAACCAACATTTACTGACTGATGCGTACCTGCCTTTATCCCACAAAGAGTGAGCACTTTTTTTTTTTTTTTTTTTTTGAGACAGTCCCACTCTGTGGCCCAGGCTGGAATTCAGTGGCCTGATCTCCACTCACTGCAACCTCCGCCTCCCGGGTTTAAATGATTCCCCCACCTCAGCCTCCCAAATAGCTGAGACCGCAGATGTGCCCCGCCACATGCAGCTGATTTTTCTATTTTTAGTAGAGATGGGGCTCCACCATGTTGGTCCGGCTGGTCTTGAACTCCTGGCCTCAAGGGATCTGCCTGCCTTAGCCTCCCAAAGTGCTGGAATTACAGGCATGAGCCACCATGCCCAGCTGAGTAAGCACTTTTTAAAGATAAATTATTCAGTCTCAGAATAGGTATATATGCACATGTGTATACAATTCTATTCATAGCATAGAGACTACAGTAGTAAACACGGGAAATAGCATTGTATTTAAGAACTAAATATTTTTTATTTTAACATCATTTGATTAATTTATTGCCCAGGATTCAGGTAGAAAAGCAGTATGATTTTAGCTTTCAATTTGTTTGTAACTTTCTGTCCTTCTCACAGTCCGAATAGTGACTCTGGATTTGGGTATCCTAATGAAAACAGCATATAGTGCTAGTACTAATAATTATAACCATAGTATAATACGGTAATAGCCAACGTAAACTGAGTGCATAAAGTGAGCCATGAATAGTTTTAAGCAATTTAGTTGTATCAGTCTTCAGAACAAGATTTGAAAGTAAATGCTATTATTATCCTCATTTTACAGATGAGGAAGTAGGCATAGAAGTAGGGGCAGCATTTCAGTCCTTTATAGTCAGCTATAACAAAATGCCGTAAACCGGGTGGATAGCTTATAATCAAAATTAATTTCTCTCACAGTTCTAGAAGCTGAGAAGTCCAAGATCAAGATGCTGGCAGATTCCGTGTTCAGTGAGGGCCCTCTTCCTGGTTCATAGAAAGCCATTTTCTTACTGTACCCTTACATAGTGGGAGAGGCAAGCAAGCTTTATTGGGCCTCTTTTATAAGAGCATGTCTGTAATCCCAGCACTTTGGGAGTTCAAGGTGGTCGGATCACCTGAGGTCAGGGGTTCAAGACCAGCCTGGCCAACATGGCCCTATCTCTACTAAAAATGCAAAAAATTAGCCAGGCATAGTGGTGCATGCCTGTAAGCCCAGATATTCAGGAAACTGAGGCAGGAGAATTGCTTGAACCCAGGAGGCGGAGGTTGCAGTAAACGAGATTGCACCACTGCACTCCAGCTGGGCGACAGAATGAGACTCTGTCACAAAAAAATAAAAGTAAAAAAGAGCACTAATCCCATTAGTGAGAGCCACACCCCCATACCTGATCACTTCCCAAAGCCCCCACCTCCTCATAGCATCATACTGGGGAGTAGGTTTTCAACACATGGGCTTTGAGGGGAAATAACATTCAGACCAGAGCAGGCAGGAGTGCATATTTTGTTTATGAAGCAGTCTCTTGTTAATAAACTATGATATCTCTTACTGCTGTTTCTCCAATAAAGTGAATAAACGTAAGCCTACTGGGAAATACCAACATTAAACTTTGATATCTTCTACTCCCAGTTGCTGAAAGCTAAGTTGAGGACTCTTTTTCCCAATTAAGAAAAAACTAAAAGAAAATGGTGCATGATTTTCATTGCTGCTGTTCGTGTCGGCCAAAGGGCCTTATCAGTAAATATACGGTGTGTAAAGAAAGGTTGGTTATGGAATTACTTATCTTTTCTTAAACGTGTTATTCTTTTCCCAAAACGTGGCTGCTATGAACTATTTGTTCCCCTCCCCGCTCAAATTCGCGTTAAATACTAACCTCTAAGGTGACAGTATTATGAGGCAGGGCCTTTGGAAGGTAATTAGATCATGAATATGAAGCACTTATGAATAGGAACCTTTATTAAATAGGTCCCAGGGAGCTTATTTCTTTCTTCCATTATCTGAGGACACAAGAGAATGCATCATTGATTAATCAAGAAGGCCCTCACTAGACAAAGAATCTGTAAGTTTCCAGATCTTGGACTTCCCAGCCTTGAGACTATAAGAAATAAATTTCTGTTGTTTATAAGCCACTTCATCTATGGTTTTCTGTTATAGCAGCCCAAAGAAACTAAGACAGTGGCCATGAGAGATGATGTGTCTCCCAGCACCACTGACCCCTTTCTAAAACTGAGCCACTTCAGGTAGCAAATCAAGACTATTGCTATGACTGCAATTTATTACTAATACATATTTTTCCAGTTTTTTATTTTTACTTATTCTTTTATCTTCTGAGATATACAAAAATCCATTAAATAACTGGCCTGCGTATTTTTGTAATAGAACATAAAAAATAAGAGATGGAACCAAACCCACCAGTTTTGTATTCCAATCAAACATTTCAAATTTTCTTCTCTCTCCAGAGTACTCGTAATTAACAGGAACGGTGCTGACTTACAAGATTTCTAAAACATAAATATGTCCTTTATGCAACCATATGATATGTGGAATCAGAATAGATGAGATTTTTTCTTGGATTAGGGTTGGAAGAAGTCAGGTGGGAAAGGACAGGAAGACATCAACAGCTGGAAGCAGGGAGCAAATAGAGGTTTATCTTCGGATGTATATTTGGCACTTTTTACTCCATTATTACGTGGGATAGGGGACAGATTCCGTTTTAAGTTTCATGAATCACACCCTCAAAAACTGCAGGTTATTTAATTAAATCATACATACCTTCTACAGTTCTAGATATTTATAAATGTGACATTGATTTCCACCACTGAACAAGAATGCACTCCCACTGTTACCTTTCAGAGCAGCTTACTGAGATTTGTTGTGACGTGTTTATAACCAGTTGGGAACCTAGGTGTTGCTTCATTGCCAAGCCTTGATGGAACATTTATGGATATGTTTTATGATTTGCTAATCTGTGCTGTGAAACCATCAGTCTGTTTGCAGTGGGGCGGAAGGACTTGGGTGGGTAGGAGGGTGGAGGGAGGGGGGATAGTTTTGTTTGATGTGTCGGTGGAGGGAGAGGGGATAGTTTTGTTTGATGTGTCGGTAGAGGGAGAGGGGAAGGCAGGTTGGTCATGAAGTTTGAACTAAGATGGACTTAAAGGGTTCAGTTTTGACCCTTACACAAAAACCAGTTACAATAAATAGTTGCAACTACTAAGCAGGTTTTCAGTGATCATGCTTGATTTTCTTTGTTTTTTTTTTTTCTTATTTTATGTATTTTCTCAGGGGAAATCTCTCACGTCAAAGAGGTTAACGAGCCTTGTTCAGTCTTACTAAACGGATCATTTGTAGCATGGATGCAGACTGGAATCACTGCACATACCTTGTAGCTCGCTGTTGTGACCTGGAGCAGAGGACATTAGACCAAGATGTTGCATGAGCAAAGGACCTAAATTGTTATTTTTGTGTGTACATTCCATCTCCAGCGGACTCTTTACCATCTCGATGCCTCCATTCCAAACCGTTGTCTGCTTTCTTTCTCCTTCTACTCTGCTGGATCTGTGTCTTTTCCTTTTTAACAAGTTCAAGTGAAGTAAAACCTTTTCTTTTTGCCTTCTCTCTCTCTCTCTCTCTCTCTCTCTCTCTCTCTCTCTCTCTCTCTCTCTCTCTCCTCTCTCTCTCTCTCAAGCTTCTGCTAGACACACAGTTCACTGAAAATTCAGTCAGTCACAAACTGGAAGAATTATAAAAGAAAAAAGCATTTATCAATAACTATACATATGGCTTCACATTTATTAAACAATAAATTAGCACAGAAAGTTTCATTTCACCAATGTATCCACAGTCAGAAACACACTCTTTGTCTGTTGTCTGTACATTCTCCGTTAATGTTTCTTGCATTTATTTTTATACCATATTTAAAGAGGAAACACCTTTTACTCCAAATGTATTAAAGCTGATCCTTTCTCTGTAAATTTGTGTATGTTTATATTGTTGTTTTATCTTTCATTAAAAGATGCAGAATCTCATTGCTTTCGTAACTTTTGACTTCCATGCTAACTAAAAAAAATAATAAAAAATGACAATAATGCTGAGAAATCCACAACCCACAACCGCAGAGGGGGTTGGACTTAACTGCAGAGTTAAATTTAGGTTGTCACCTTGAAATTTATTTCAGGGTTTCAAGACAAGCTTGGATAGTACAGAAGATAATAATTTTTTGGAGGCTTACCTGAGACTTGGTAGATTCTTTTTCTCACATGGAAGAACAATGCAAATTGACCTTCCACATTTTCAAAGCTATTTATAAGGCCTTTCTGCCTCATGATGAATATGCATCTGTATGTTTTGCAAATTAGTATTTCTGTTCTAATTAGGCTTGAGTTGTGACTTATTAAATCAAGTACTGATTTGTTCTTTAAAACACAGTTCTAAAAATATCATAGGCCAGTGCCTCTTAACTTTTTGGAGGTTACAGATTATTTTGAGAATACAGTCACCTCTTGGTATCCCTGGAAAATTGGTTCCTAGACCGCCTCAGATACCGAAATCCACAGATGCTCATGTCACTAATAAAAACTGGCGTAGTATTTGCATACCACCTACATAAATCCTCCCATATGCTAAATAATCTCTACATTATTATTATAATATCTAATATAACCTAAATGCTATATAGTGGTTATATTTTTAATTAATATAAATTTAATTGTTGTATTGCTATTTTTATTGTTGACTTTTTTCAAATATTTTCCATCCAAGGTTGCTTGAATCTAAAGATACAGAACCCATGGATACGGAAGGCCAACTGTGTGATGTAATTAGTAAAATTTACTGACTGCTTAGTAAGTGCCTGCCACTTCATTGAGAGTTTTCCATGGCCACAGAATTCTCACATTTAATCGTCATAGCAGTCCTATAAGATCATTTCTGCAATTTTGAGAACACTGAGGCAGAAAGAAGTAACTTGTTTGAAGTCACCTACCTAAGTAGTGGACTGGGATTATAGGAGAGGAAAAAGCTCTTTTGTTGCTTCCCTTCTAAGTTCTCAGCTGTGGCTCTGTAACAAAAGACAGACAAGAGAAAAGCATACAAATGTATGTAATAGAAATATTACATGACATAAGAGACTTCGTAAAGAAATGAATACATTAAAAAGGATTAAACCTGAGTGTTTTTTTGACCTAGGTTTGAGGAAAAGTCATGGGAAAATGTGCTAAGGCAGAGGGGTAGGCACTATGGGTGGTAAGCTGGGGGAAACTGAGCAAGGCCTGTTCCTTCAGATTCCTCTCAGATTCGTCTTCAGGGAGACGAATGGTCCATTTTTCTGGGTATAGGGAGAGTGTCTCTCACAGGAGGCTCTTATGACCTGCTTCAAGGGAAAGCCAGAGAGTCCTCCTGAACCTGCCATTTCTCAAATTTCTTCAGCTTAAAATATTCAATATGTCAAGGTACCATATTTGGGATAGCACTCAGAAACCCCCTCAGCATATAAATCCAGGCAGTCTCACTGCAGGACCCACTCCACTGCCCACCTATCCATTATACCACAAATGTCTTTTGATAAAAATTGGGTGAAAATCCACATACACTCACAGTGGTACTGAATTTTAGGACATTCACAGACTAATCCCCATAGCTCATCTGTGGACCCCAAGTAAATAACCTAACTCACTTTAAGGGTGGGATCAGTGACAAAAAAAAAGTTACCCAGCCCAGAGATGGGCCTGATCTGTTTGCTTTCACCTACACCAAGGCTCTGGTTATTTAAAAAAGAGATCAAGTTACTAATGGCTGTTACTTGCTGTGGGTAAATTTAAATTCTCAAAAAATTGACTATTACTGGTGATAAATCAGCAGTGGAGTCTGTTGGTTAGTTAATAAAACTGTCACAAAATGGAAGAAATTTGATAGGAGAAATTTATATATAAGCTATAATCTAAACACTGCAAACAGTATAGGAGAGATTTAATTATATGCTGAGTTTTTTTTTAAATCTATAAAATGCAAATAAATTAAATTGATAGACTTTCTCCCTTAAAAACAGGACAGTCTTGGACAGACAGCACTGAAGTTAGATTAAAACTCTAGTTAGCAGAAACATTATTTTAAGGAAAACAGTAATCCTATAAGAATAATATGGTATTTAAACAATGAGCCTTGCACAAATACGATTGGTTATTTCAGTCCTTAGAAGTCCATCATCCCTGGCAATTCCAAATTATGGAAAAATTCATACTTACTGGCATTTTCAATCATACGAAAAAGAGAAACCCTCAGGCAAGTATCCCCAAGTCAGGAATTCCTAATAAAAAAAAATTAGTTTCTGAGTTCAAATACATAAAACATTTAAATAGCCTAATGACTCCATTTAACGTGGTCTAGATGAGACTCAGATGCAAAGCAAGGGTCTTTCAGGAGAAGCACAGAAGAGTTTTGGAGTTCCACGCAGTTCAGTAAGCCCTTGGCATTTGCCTCCCACCCCACCCTGAAACCATTTGATCTCTAAGGCATAGAATAAAAAAAAATCTCTAAAGTTTCTATTTAATAAAGTTGGTTTTAAGGCTTTTTTTTTTTTAAACTTTGAAACTGTCAAAAAAAGTTACCCTCCAATAAACCAGAGTTTCTACTCTCACAGTACGGAGCTATTTTGATCCTCTAAATTTCATTGACCCAATTCTCCTCTTAGCGATGTTACAGTAATGTGTTCTGTGGATCTGGACAAGATTTTCTGCTTGAATCAAAGTAACAGAAATATGGCCAGCAACCTTACTAAGCTGCATCCTAAAATAAATGAAGGCAGAAACTCTCCCTCTTCGTAATGAGCAGTGTGAGACTTGATCTCGCTACTCAGGACTCGCAGCTGTGCCCTTGGGTCTCCTGGTTGACTGCTCACTTCTCTTTACATGATGGTTTATGAATAATTTTGGTCTACTGAGAGAGGCAAGTCTTAGCGGCTAGCATGAATTTAGTCCACCTACATGCACTGTCTCCACACAGAAGATTTTGTGTCCTTAAATACACATTTGAAAGAGCACATTGAATATCTAGTTGGTTTACTGTTGTCTGTGACTACCTCTTTCCACATTTTAGTAGCCCTCTAAAACACCAGCCAGAAACAGCCAAAGCTATCAATCCATCCCCTACACCATTTTAAGAAGTGGTACGTGATAATGAAGAATTTAAAGAAAAAGAATAGAGAGGAACTACATTCATGTATTATATACACACATATACACAAATAGGTATCTTATGCATTTTACTGTACAACCACATATTTGTATATTTTTATGGAAAATATGCTCTAGAACTCATTTTTTAAAAGGCATCAAATAATGTATCAAATATAAGATGCTTCCATTTAGAAATCAGATTAGAAGAAAAGCTTGCACATGCCCTCAGATATTTGGGGGAGTTTTTCTGGAGCTGAAATGTGCAATGTGTTTGCAACTTCATTTTCAAAAAGGTCATTAGAGGCTGGGAAGACATAAATACTTCTTGATTTAAAAATTGATTCACAGGCAGGGTGGGAAGGAGGCGGCAGCGGCCCTGGCCGGCAGGAGATGCACCAGCAGCAGCGGTGGCGCAGTGAGTCCTCCCGGCCGCTCACAGCGCTGTGGAGCCGCGTCCCCAGCCAGCCTCAGACGGTGGCGCCCCTCCTGGCCCCTGTCGCCGCCCGCCCCTCCCCTGCGTCAGAAAGCATGGCTGCCTTCTCTGGTCCCGACGGGGGCGGGCTGATTACTTTGAGGAGGCCGGCGGGCCACGCACTGCCCCCAACTGCGTTTGGAAGAGCACGCATCCGGCCCTAGCCAGAAGTGGTTGAATTGCTGGAGAGCAGACTTAGAAGATAAAACACCTGATCAGCTAAATAAACATGATCGATGATGGGCCAGACATTTTGAGACGTCCTTACAGGACGGTTCTTGGCCATAATGCAATACCAACAGTCTCTGAGCTTACCAATCATCTGAACAACCCACGTAGTAGACACAGTAAACGAATGAAAGAATGGTGATGAAACTTCCGAACAGGAACAAAAACGTAAAGAAACCAGCAACAGCAAGGCTCAGCACTCCAGTGAAGACGTGGGTGAAGGGTCAGAGGAGGACATCCTACCTCTAACCCTTGAAGAGAAGGAAAACAAAGGTTACCTAAAATCTCTATTTGAAATCTGGATTCTGATGGGAAAGCAAAACATACCTCTGGAGGGGACATGAGGCTGGTGAAATCCCAGAAGCTCTCTTCACTCCAGATAACGTTGAAGCGCTGCTCGAATGCTGGATATATTCTGGTGAAGAGGTCCTGAGAAAGTGCTTTGAGACAACAGCAGTTAGCACATTGTGTTGTTCAAAACCACAGCAGAAACAGATGCCAGAGAGCTGTGAGAGCCGTAGTAGGGAAGAAACTCTCATGGAAGTGAGAGACTCATACTTCTTCTCCAGTGTCACTGACGATGTACTGGATGTAGGGGCACCTGCCTGTGTTGATGAGGTTGATGAGTCTCATAACCTAAGAGGGGAATTTGTAAGCTTCCCGCCTTATGAAGCTGATGCAGACATTTTGGCTGTAAAATT